GAACAACGCACCATGTGCGTCTTAAGCATTCTTGCTTGCATGCCAACGCGAATTTGATGTCTTGTGTCTAGGCTATCCACCAGATGCGACTTCGCTCCTAGGGCTCGAAAATGCTCTTAACACTTTCCCGCAAGACTTGATTTCTTCCAAAACTGAAGAGGCCTTTCTTCATCTCATTCAGGCGGAACTTGAACCACCTCGCATCTCTGACATGCTCGACGAAAGGCCTCTGCTTCCGCATGAGGCGGCGGACAGCTTGCCACCCGAGCCTGCTATCGAGTTGTCCATAGAACAACAACAAGTTTTCGACGCAGTGAAGACAGGTAAAAATGTCTTTTTTACTGGCTCGGCGGGTACAGGCAAGTCCGTGTTGCTCCGCGCCATCGTTAAAAGGTGCCGTGAAGAGAGACGGGTGTTTGCCGTGACTGCCTCAACCGGTATTGCTGCTGTGAACATTGGTGGAAGTACCCTGCACTCTTGGGCTGGTATTGAGCTTGGAAAGGGGACCGCGGAAAGGCTCGTCTACAAAATCCTGGGATCCGAGATGGACGAAAGGAGGAAAGAACAAGAAAAGTTGGGAAAACCCTTTGCGTACGATGACTACGACCCCGATGACCCTAATGATCCCCTGGCCATGCTGGCGGCAAAGCCTTCGAAAAGACGAAGCGTTCAACGATGACGAGACATTCAGTCGTTGATTATCGACGAAAGCAAGCGCATGCCACTTCCTGCCTCTCCGTCTACTTACACCTCCACAGTTTCAATGATCGACGGCAGACTGTTTGACAAACTCGTAAGCTTTTCCTTAGTGCTCGGTCCACTGAAGTTGATATACGAGCGACAGGAATACATTGCAAGGGTCTTGCGAAAAAGCACTGAGCCCTTCGGCGGCATTCAAGTAAGCACCGTTGGATGGCATGCTGCATCTTTGCTCCATTCAGCTCCTTCTCCCAGCTTATCATCTCCGGTGATTTCTGTCAACTCCCGCCAGTCCCAGATCGAGAGAATGGTGCCCCTGTTCCTATTACATTTGCTTTTGAGGCGAGGACATGGGACTCATGCCTCGGAAGACCCATGTGTCTGAAGACGGTTTTCCGACAGAAGGACCAAGGTAGGTGATGTCGTCTGTAGCTTGTCGTCTCTGCTGAGGATCCAAAAGAGTTCATTGACATGCTGAACGCCATGCGCTTTGGTACGTTGCTCCCCGAAACGATTGAGACCTTCAGAAAGCTTTCAAGGAGGGTAAAATATACCGACGACATTGAGCCAACCGATCTGTAAGCAAGGCCATTTCCCACTTGCTTCGCTGCTTCTGTAACACGATTCGTTCCCGTTTCATAGCTTCTCCACCCGTAAAGAGGTCGATAACACAAACCAATGGAGGTTACACCTGCTGAAGACGGAGGAACACATTTATACCGCCCGCGACACGCCAGGATATGACATCGATTACAATCCGGTGAAGCCGAATATTATGAAGAAGCTACTTGACCGGCTAGTTGTTCAGCAAACCGTTACGCTAAAGGAAGGCGCACAAGTGATGCTCATCAAGGTGCGATCTTTCTTCTCACCCCCTGCTCTCCCTGCTAACCTGACACAACCTTCACAGAACCTGGTTCAGGGGTGTCTTGTCAACGGCACCATTGGGAAAGTAGTTAATTTTTCGACTACTAGAGAAGCGAGCGGTCACGGTGTCATGATCGGTCTGCCAGATGGCGAAAGCTTGCCCGGCAATCAACATATTCCCAGCTGGCAGATAGGGCATGAGTATTCTTCTCTTGATAACAGCGCTCAGGAAGAAGCAAGGCGGAAACTTCGAGTGGCGTTGTCGAGGCCAGGCGTATACCCAGTGGTACGGTTCAACAAGGGGTCAATCTACGGAGGAATGATCGATGTCTTATGTGTGCCGGACGACTTCGAGGTTACTACTGCGGACGGCAGAGTGGAAGCAAGGCGAGAACAGGTGCCACTCATTCTCGCTTGGGCTCTGAACATACACAAGAGCCAGGGGCAAACCCTCGAGCGGGTACGTGTTGACCTCCAAAGTGTATTTGAGAAGGGCCAAGGTAAGTGTGCCATCACGTGCGACTCGGAAGGTGCGATGCATATGCCCACAACTTCCTTCAGCGTACGTTGCATTGTCCCGAGCAACCAGTATGGAAACCCTAGAGGTGAAAAATTTCACTCCTGACAAGTAAGTGACCATAAGTCGGCCTCGCTGCCTACGCTGTACTCATGCGTATACTCAGAGTTATGGCCCATGGGAGAGTCTTGGAGTGGACGCGGGCTAATACGAATCTGATATGATACGGCGTGGAGTAGCCCAAAGTGCCGCTAACTTGCTTACCGTTTCTCATTCCCTCTGCTACACTACTGCGAAAATTTTTGATATTTATTTTCCACTTGATGATCGCCTTCAATGATTTTCCTTGTATCACAGCTGTCTGTGTATTTTGTGTGTTATCGAGAGACTATAGCACAGCGCAGTTTACCCTACTCAACCGTACGACCCAAACACATGCTATGATACATGAATGTCTCATAAAGGCGGTAAGGACTAGTGCGAGGGTGATAAAGGAAACACCGAATGCACCTATGGTATGCACATCTAACTTGAGCCTCCGATGCATGTGGCGCGTTCTTGCTGTCGCTCTCCACTACGCTTTGGAAGCCAGAGAACTGTGTTGTCGCAGCCAGGTAATGTGCCCCGACCATCACGCTTTCCTGGGTCTGTTCGGCCGTGTGGTATCGTGCGTAAGAGTTAGACTCTTTCTCTGAGTCGGACGTGACAGAAAGCTCGGATGGCTGTCAGTGCCGTCCTCCAAATCTTGATGTTGATATTCAGGCCTTCAGGCCTCAGCAGAAGGTGGAATAGAAGCGAGTCTGATCAAGGCAAACTGTGTCGCAGGTAATCTGGACTCTGGAGTCGCAAGGTCTCTCGACTTTCGAAGCCAGAACTTAGCATCGGCTACGAAGGGGACAAGCTGCGGTATGACATTATCGGACTGACTCATCGAGCACAACTATTCTCTAGAAAGAAAGTTCGAGATTAGATTAGATGTCGGTGTTGAAGATCTGTGGAGATCTTCCCCAACCCCAAAGACTGGTCGAGGCGCGTGCCGTCCCTGTCTTAAGTCTTTCCTCCTCCTTGATGCAAAACATGTCGGACGTCGCCAAAGGTACGGTACTGGTTGTTCTCCTTCCATAGTCGTCGTCCTCTCACAAACCATCACCCGCACAAGCAGAACAAGAGCCTATTCTCCCTTTGCTCTCACGAGCTCTCATCCAGATACGCTCGACTCCTCCGAGAGTCATAGCCTCGCCTGCTACCCGTTCGTATCAGCGTCTTCATCTGATTCACGGCCTTTTTTAATGAATTATTCCGCTGGGCGTTCTGCAGAGCCAAGAAGGGCCGCGGTAGCACTCATCATCCGCATTGCGCCCCCGCCGTCGTACCCTACATCTTCCGGAGCCAGCCCCTCATCATCACAGCCGCAGACTACCGACCTCAATGAGTTTTTCCAACTGGATTGGGTTCGTGCACCAGGTACACGACCAGAAATACTTTTCCTCCGGAGGGAGAATCCGCAAGAGAGCTCAGATGGAGGTCGTATGAACGAGAGCGGCCAGGCGAGGGAAGCTCATCTTGCGTTTCCTGGTGCGCATTGAGCCTACATGTGTCGTTCGCTTAACTTAAATATCTTGTAGGTGGACGCACCGAGGAAGGAGATGAAGGGGGCATGTACACTGCCATGCGCCAAACTTGGGAAGAGATCGGTCTTGATCTCGCAGAGGCTGCTTACGCTCCCATTGGTCAACTCGACGACCGCGAAATTACAACTTCTCTTGGGAAACGCTTGCTCATGATTCTGTCCCCCTATGTCTTCCTCCAACTCACTCCTCAAACGACAGCTGTCGATCCTGCTCCAGGGACAACCATGCATTGGGTACCTCTCAGTGAGCTTGTACCCAGTGATCTCGCCGCCATGGTCCTCAGTAGGAGCAAGAAAGGCTTGAGCTCCGGTCTCAGCGAGCCAAAACCGCGCTGGTCAAAAGTCACGGTTGACGCATCCTCACGCCTCGCGTCACGTCACTCGCCGCTGTTGCGTCTGCTTGTCCGCGTGCTCGTGGGCAACATGAATTTCCCAGCTATCAGCATTGACGCCTCAGATACGTCTGTGGTCTATCCTGCACCTGCCGAAGCGCAGACAGACGATGAGCTCGACGAGAAGCGCGCTTTCGTCGAGAACGGACACAGCGGGCTCCGGCGGCAGGGCTCCCTCCAAAAGCTGCGCTCCCACGCGGGCGTCCGGCGGCAGCGCCGGCATGAGGAGCTCAAGCTTTGGGGCCTCTCGCTCGGCATGACTCTCGACTTCGTCGCCTACATGACCTCCAGCACCCGCGGCGCTGCATCCAGCGCTCTCGTTCCGCCAGACGCGGAGGTAGTGCTCAGTGGCGCGCCCATCCTCGCCCCGAGCCTCACGAGCGTGTTCCCGCGCTTTTCCTACCCGGACGTCAATTTCTGGATCTGGGTCTTTGGGAAGCGCTACCGTGAGGTCGTGCGCGGCTGGGAGGCGAGCGTGCAGGCGGGCGGGACGAACGATCGGAGGATCAACTGGACGGGCTCTGCGCTCAACACGTTCTACGCTGCAGTGCGCAAGGCATTAGTCGTCGTCGTCGTCGTCCGCGGCATCTTCCTTTTGATTGGGCTCGTCCTTGGCGGCTGGTTCTTGTTTGCACGGGGTTAGCTTTGCCCTGTTTTCTAGACGAGCTTTCTTCTTACTTACGAACACTATGATGACTCCCTCCACCCCTTTGTTGTTGTCGTACGGACTCGTATTTTGATTGTTATGTTAACATAGAAGCGTAGTATCTCCACTACCCTCCACTACGTAACGTATGGATCACAACTGGGTCGTTCAATACATGCCTACCGCTATTCCACATTCATCTCTTTCTTCTCCTCTAACCTGACATGTCCGAAAGATATGACGGCAGCCGTTTCACTGCCCCGCCTCATCACATTTCCGAGACTTCGTGGCGCCGACGATTAGTTTTCGGGGCCCACGGCCTCCGCGGTCAAGCTCCAAGATGTACACCGCCCGGTCGTATTTGCGTTTACATCGGAACCAGAGTAACACTAGCTTGCGTTTCCCCGTTGGTCTGCCTAGCGTAGAAAGGTTCTGGGATGGACAGCTACGAGGCCTAGCATCTATTATGCACATTGCCTGTATGGTCGTACTACTAATGGATACAGCATGCGGGTACTTTTACGCCAACCAAGTACTTCCTTTCAGTCTGCGAACTTGGACCACGACCGTATAATGTGGCCGTATCGAAACCTAAGAAGCTCAAGTTCAACCATGTGCTACGCCCACCACCAGAAGGGAGTGGACTCACAGGAGGAAAGGCACAGGCAGCATTGCGATGGCGATGCCGCCGATGATGCTCAGCGCGGGGCCGACGCCAAGGTTGTGGAAGAACGCCGTACTGAACAGCGGGAAGGCCGCGCCGATCGAGGACCGGAAGAGGTCGTTGCTCGCCAGCACCGAGGCGACGTAGCGCGGATAGCAGTCCGCTAGATAGCTGTGTGAAACAGATGCAAAACAGTTAGGGCACGTTAAGTGGGTAGAAGAGAAGCTCCGATACGTACTTCATGCCCGCTTGAAACAGGTAGAATGCGCCTATCGCCCATAGTCCGGATGCTAGGATGGGAAGTATCCAGGGTACGCTAGCCGCGCTAGTCCAGCCAAACCAGAAGAGCGACGCCTATTGAAGTATGGATATGATATTCTAAGCATGTAAGTACGTCGAAAACTCACTGGGAAGAAGAACGCGCCGAAGAATGCTGGCGGAAGCCTGTCTTCCGGAACGAATGCTGCTGAAGTGTGAGGACGAGAAAGCGATGTAAGCGAAGATCACTAACTTCCGTTTGCGAACTTGGGCTTGAGTGAGAATAAAGCCCATGGCAAGAAGCCGAAGAATGCGATGACGCCGCCGACCACAATTCCCTAAGACGGCATGAGCATTGCGCATACTTTACCAAACCGATAAGGCTCACCAGGAAAGCCAGACCATTCTGAGCCAGATTGAAGTGATGATGTTCGATGAAGACCACGTCAAACGATGCGATAAAACAATACAAGATACCTATCAACCGCTTAAGTACTTGCACCATTTCCATTGCACTGATGTTACACACCGTATATCATGCCGAGGTAAAAATTCCAGAATATGACGATAGGCTCGCGGAAGCCTAGCAAAAAGGGCCGAACTAGGGTCATCATCGCGACCTCGTTCATCGTCATATTCGCGGCCTCGATCTCTGCTTGGGTCTTCAGGTCCGGGTTACCTGTGAGGCGACGCAGACGAACCGCACGACGGTATAGGATCCTGTAACGCGAGAGCGTCAGCTTCGCACGAGAACTGAGGCCACGGGTACACTTACGCTTGTGACGACGTCTCAGGCATAGTCAACGCAAGAAACACCCAACTTGTCCCGGAGAGCCACAGCAGGATCCAGATCGTCCACGTCCAGCCCTCGGCCTGCGTTGCGAACCCACCGAGGGTGGGGCCAAGCACGGGCCCGCACATAGCAGCTAGACTCCAAACGCCGATGACCACTACACGGTCAGCCGGAGGCCACATGTCCGCGAGGCTGGCGCCACCCGTCGCGAGCGGTGGCGAACCGACGAAGCCTGCGAAGAAGCGCAATGGGAGGAGGGCACCGAGGTTCTTGGCAAGCGCGGTCGGAATTTGGAGCAACACGAAAATAAGCATCGTGACCATGTAAACAGGTGAGCGACCGAACTGGGGGATCTCGCTTAGCGGCGAGAGAATCATCTATAGCGATACGTTACAGCAGACACGGGAAACAATTGAGTAAATGACTTGCCGGTCCTATAGCGTACCCCAACACGAACATCGTAATACCAAGAGAGGCTGCGACGGGCGATATGCCGAATTTTTGCGATATATCCTGTATTCCGGGAGCATAGAGTGCCGAACCGATGTAGATCGCAAACGTCAACCAGCCTATCTGGAAAGTGACGAAGGATCGCTTCAGAAATGACCACTGGGTGCAAGATGCAAGAGGTGAGCATAAGCGGTTTCGTGCGGTCTTGAACACTCACATTTCCTGGATACTCGGGATCGTCTGGGCCATACCAGTCGACTATCGTGGAGCTCTCGATTTCGCGCTCTTCTGCCTTCTCTATTTCTGCTGCGTCTCTACCATGCACATGGAGGAGTTCTCGCGCTTGAGAGCTCTCTCGCTCCAACGGGCCAGCCGGTCGTTTCCGCTTAGAGTCACGATGTGAAGGCTCTTCTGCTAGAGTTTGGCTCCTGTCTGATCCGCTGCGAGGGCCACGCTGGGAAAGCGCTGAGTCGCGTCTGTCGCGTGGCTGCGATGCAGGTGAGTCTCTTGACGGCTTCTCGTTGGAGTTCGACAAGTAGCGAGGAGGTAGAACGAAGCCAGGCCTCTCTTCGGGATATCTAAAGAGGCGTCGACCAGACGCGTAGTAGATCACCTGGCCAACAAAGGAGTCTCGTACAAAGTCTGGCACCGGCATCTTCAAAGTGAGGGAGTCAGTACTCAACAAAGGCTCTCACTCCCATATATAATCCTTGCCCCACATTTTAGCCGTTCGACGCGCGTACTTGAGGGCTACCCACTAATGGAACTGGAGTCATCCGTCGGGATCAGCTCCACCCTTGTGAAACGCCCAGTCAGGAGCGGGCGCGGTGGATCTTCGCATCCCGAGCTGGATCGGTAGCGTTTCTGCTACATCGGGCGGTGACTCGCAGCTCGAGTGCTGACTGAGCGCTCCAAGATGGGCTCGTTGACGGAGAATTTAGCCGAGTATGAGGACTTGTATGACTGCATGCCACAGGGTCAGGCTACGGCGCATCAGTCAGCGCGGAGTCCTGTATCTGCTCGATTCATAAGAAGAGTACGCACCGCCATGAGTTGACCGCGACGGAGCCAAACGCAAGTCCGATCGGGGCTCAGGCCTCAGGAGGTGAACTTGAAGGGGACCATCCGCCGTCCCCGGACATGGATCTTGGCTGCAGCTCGTATGAGAGCAGCGCGTACGAGGAGGACCGTATCCACTTGAGCCTAAAAAGAATCTAACAAGCACGAGTATTTGTTAATTATACGTGCATTCAAGAGTTCTGTGTGCTCACGATGCCACTATCTAGACTCTGCGTGAAGCGGCTTTGACTGCTTGGCAGTCCACGCGCCACGCAGATGCTGGGGAGTAACGTGTGTCAATAAACCGCGGTCCATAGGTGTAGCGGTGCTATAGTGTAGTGGCTATCACTTGGGATTCTGATACCAAATTCCCAAAACCCAGGTTCGAGCCCTGGTAGCGCCTTTTTGAGAATTGCGATTGCACTTTTTGTTACTCCTCTCCACCGCTTGCCAACTGCCAGATTTTTGCAAACGCACCAAGTTTGCCGGTATCACACTTGAATTATGACCATACATGTGCAGTTCAGATTTTGCACGCAAGAGTCGTTCTCTGGCATCGCGCACGCATATTTTCGGGCAGCTTGATGAAAACAACACGGGTATGTCTCTATCGTATCACACTACTCGTACATTCATTTTCGCCTCATCTGCATTCCCTACTGTAGCGGCAATCCACAAATCTCACAATCTGTACCACCATGCGTGTTCTCGAACGTGCAATGGGGGCAGATCCTGATCCCAGTCTGGGGAGCTGCTCCGCCATCCCCGGCAGACGCGCTCTCGGCCTGTTCGCGAGCAATCTGCTCGTAGTACTCTGCAGGGATTTCCTCGTTCATTGCCGAGGGTCCACCCAACGTAGGTGCCGAGGATGAAGGCCGCGCCGCTGGGATGTGGGCGGTGAGTATGAATGCTAGACAAGGCGGTAGGGAGATACGTACGGCCCATCTCGCGAGTGAAAGTCATGAGCGTTTGCCAGCTCTCTGTTGTGATGACACTATCCAGTGCAGACGGGTCCTCGAGCAGTTTAGGTGATGATGCTGCGCGGAGGAAGGTCTTCATATCCTCCTAGGCCACAAGCAATCAGTGATCGGCAGTCGCGCAATGCGAGTGAACACACTTGTGATACCAGCTGGGTCGTACCCAAGAAAGAGACGAGGTGCCAGTCGCTCAACCAGGCAGCCAACTCGCGACGCTGCTGGGTCATACCCTCACCAGGGAGAAGATCGGGCGCGCGGATGCTCGCGAGATCTTTGACGAGCCGTCCTGTCGACTGGTCTTCGAGCCCGGGGCGATTCTCAATGAGCTTCGCTGACTGGAAAAGTGGTTTGGGGTCTTGAGGGAAGCCGTGAGATACCTGAAAGACGCCATGAGTGGAGCCATTCCAGAAAATGTGGCGATATTACGCACGTTGACCATCAAGTACTCAACAGGGAACGCAGGCTTCGCGGTCTTCTTCACCTCAAGGCCGTACTCGTTCTTGTAGCGGAAAAAGACATCGGGGATATATCTTGCCGAGTCCTCAGACCTGTCTTCCTCCTTTACACGCACGATCCCAGGGTCGACACTGGCCTCAATCATGTCCGCCTCTACCATCGCACATGCCTGCTCCGAGACCTGATACGCCGCGACGTCAATACCACCACCCTCAGTGCCCGTTAGAATGGCAGTGACCATGCGCGAGCCGAAGAACCCAGTCGTTGATGACTTTGACGGCGTCGGGTTCTGCAGCTGGACGTGGGCAGCGAAGATCGCCTCCAGACACGAGAGATAGAAGGACTGCGGATGCCTCCTGTACTGGGTCTTTGTCCGGTCTTCAGGCTCGGGAACGAGGTCCGTGAAGATGTAGCCAACAATACCGAGTGGGGTCGAGGCGTGCTTCGCGAGCTCCTTAATCCTAGGCTCGTCCTCCCACGGGAGCCCAAGCGACAAGCCGTCCACCTCACCCTCTTGTGGCGGTTCGTGGATGGCCTCAACAACAGCCTTCACACCCATCGGGACGTCGTTATAGGGCTCGTAGTGGCCTAACAGCCATCCGAACCGCTGCAGACCGGTCCTCCTCCAGGCTTCAAGGAACCTTTGGATGATGTCCGGAGACGCGATCTCCAAGTGGTCTACCATCCGGAATGGTTGGCTTTGTAACGTGATCGCAGACGGCTGACATGCCGTGCAGATACCCTTGGGCCAGCTCGGATGCCCGGTGGGACACGGAGTCTTCACCTTGTAGTTCAGCAGCTCGAGCGGCGGTAGAGTTGCACTGGAGGTCGTCGCCGCCGACCCCGTGGGCGCAAGCTTACATATATACGCGTGGTACGACAGGTGTTTGATGCTGTGCTCGGTATGATACGCTGGATCGTACGGCTCGAGGGGCATGCAATAGTCGCACATGGCGTTGGCACCATGCTTGCAGAAGCGCGAGTCGCGGCCACGCGGGATTTTGCCGTCTCTGGAACGCCAGTAGGTGTCGACAGGGTCTTCTCGGGCGAGCTCCCAAGGACGTTTCGCGGCGCCATCACCGGCCGCTGCGAGGGCTTGTTGCGGGTCGGGTTGGCTTGTTGACGCGCTCTGAGCGGGTTTCGGGGAGTATCCGACGAATAACAGATCCCCATGTCTAAACAGCTCGGTGAAATCGCGAAGTGGGGGAAACATTAACACGCACTTGATGCCTAGCGACTCCAGACTTCTTCCCTTGAGCGTTGAAACAAGGACCTCGTTGCCTCGTGGCTGATTGGAGATTGTGAGCGCGTTCGGGTCCGCATCCTGCGCAATTTCGAGTATCTATGCAAGAATGAGGTCTTATGATGAACTCCTGGGAAAGCGCAGGCAAGGACGCACCTTGGACACGAGGTCCGCAATGTCTGCAGAGGGCGCAAACTCGAAACGAAAGTTTCCGTCCTTTGAGCGTACCCTAACTAGCTGCGTGTAGTATGTAATGAGCTGCTCATTGTACATTTTTTTGATAACATACCATTCTGGCAACGAAATGTCGTGGGTGGACTGTAGACCGTCCTGGATTGATGAGCTGACGCGTCCAAATTGGATGACGCGTAGTGGTCATATTTGCTGACCAATCTGCACGTGACTCAGCATCAAAAGCTTCCACTTCGGGATACCGTAGTATTCGGGTATCCGCGCGTAGGCGCCCTAGCAAACTGAAATTCAAGTTGTCGCCATTTCGCAGCCGTATGGCGAGCGTTCGGTCCAGCCGCACGCAACTCTCAAAGCTCCTGCCGTCGACAGCACACCATCGAATCTTCTATTTGTATTCAGCCTACATAGGACATTTGAACAGAGAAATATTGGAAATTAGGTCAAGTATCGCTATCAGAACCAAGAGTTGCGAGGGAGGAATGACAGCCATTCAAGCACCGTCCCGCCTCTTCTCAACGCCAACACTCCAACCGTAGACGTAGCTGTGCTTCTCGCCGGGCGGTATAATTGCTGCGTGGCCTATAACTGGCGTGGTCCATGGATCACCGTCAGCCACACCATCCGAACAGCTACCACCACCAGCAACCGAGCGGCTCCACAAGCCGGCGCAGAGCGCGATCCTACAGTCAACCGCTTGCAAGTCCAGTGCCGGGGCCAAGCCACAGGGTGAGAGCGGCACCTGCCATCAACTTCCGCAGGGCGATGATAGCTCCTAACAACCCTTGGACATAGCCGCCAGACCCCCTCGAGTACTTGTATCATCCGACACACGTAGCTGGCCCGAGTACCTCCGCAGAGTTGTTTCCTCCTCCGCTCCCCGACTTCGACGACGAGTTCCTAAGATCAATTCTTGCCATGCCAGACGAACACCAAGGACCGCAGACACACCTGCCACCGTTCTTTCACATGCCGAATATGCCGCAGATGGCGCAGCAGCAGCCGATTCACCAACTGCCCACCCAGCAGTCGTCCGCCAATCCGGTCCTGCAGCAGGCCTTCGTGACATGGCTACAGTATATGCAACTTCAGCTGCACCTGCAACAACAACAATCACAGCAGCAGCAGCAACAGCAACATCAGCAACAGACGGCGCACCAACAGACGGCGCATCTACAGACGCAGCAAATGCAGCATCAGCGACAGCATGCTCAGTCGTCAAACGCGTTGTTCACGCCTACGCCCTTTCCTACCCTCCCACCGATTGATACTTCGGCTTCCTATCAGAGGGATGCCGTGTCACCGGAACAAACGACAAGTCAGCCCACGAGCACGCCATCGCCAATGAGCGGGAACGAGGGGCCCGACGCCGACATGTCGGCCACAGGGTTGTCAGAGGAGAAGCGCAGGCGGAATACGGCGGCGTCAGGTGAGTCTGAGAGCCTTCTCGCTATCGTCAGACTAACCAATGGCCCCTACGAAGCGCGCTTCCGAATCAAGAAGAAGCAGTGGACACTGAACCTGGAGAGATCGATTACAGAACTGTCAGGACGTGTAGAGGAGTTAGAGCGGGAGGCTTCAGAGCTCAGGCGGGAGAATGGCTGGCTGAAGGAGATCGTCATGCTGAAGTCCAAGCGCTACGGCGGGCCCACGCCACTCGCCAGCGCCGCACAAGCTAGCACGTCGTCAACAGAGGCCCCCACCGATCCAGAATCGTCCGCAAATGCTGGCGGTGAGCCTGAGGAGACGTCCGAGGTGGATGCGGGGGGCAAAGGCAAAGAGGCGAAGGCATGATATCTGACACCAGTCGTATATATAACGTGCCCACAATTCCGAATTCACAATTCGGAATTCATCTAAGGTGCAGATGGGAGTTTCCTTACCTGGACCACATTCCGCCACCAAGTCCTTGCGTTTTGATGGCCGACTTGCCCGCTGCCGGTCCGCTCTTTTCTGTAGACGCTCTCCTGCACTCTTTCTCCCTAACTGCTATTTTCCGAACGCTGTCTCCCTCTTCGCACCTTTCACCTGCCTACTTCGGGTATCTGAATAATTATTAGAAATATTTGAGATATGTCTTTCGGACGGCCTCCTTCAATATCCGCTGGCTTCACACCGTCTCCTCCGGTGCGCTTCGCTTCCCACACTGAAGATCGGACCGAAGCAAGTTAACATGATTTGCCTGGCTTGAAGGATCGAGGCTCTTTTCCTTTGGATCACTATGGTATGTCACAATGTTCGATGCTTATCGAAGAGAGTAAACGAACGATCGTGTATCTCAGGCGAGTGTAAAGATTACATGAAGGTCTATCTTGACTGCCTGCGGAAGAATGGCAGCAATTCGACGCCGTGCCGAGCACTTAACAGAGATTACCTGGATTGCCGTATGAACAAGTGTGCTCTTACACCTATCCTTCAACGCCGGCGCACTGACAACTTATCTGCAGAGGTCTTATGGATCGCGACGAGTGGAAGAATCTAGGTTTGGCAAAGGTTGCTGGCGACCCAGCGAGCTCAGAGGCAACACGGAATACAAGTCAACCTGACCAAAAGTCTACATCCGCGGCATCGAGGCCACCATAGCTTACTGCATATGCATCTTGTGTACAGTCTGGGATCATGTCGCAATCGCATACTATCTACGTTGAAGGTTCCACGTGAGGATGTATGGCGGGTGTCAGTCATGAGCATAGCATAGGCAAGTCCTTATAACGACATACCATGCGAAAATAATGCTCCCTTACGAATTGCGGTCACGCAAAAGTTCTCTAGAAGCTGAAAGATACCAAGAAGAAAAGCTGGAAAGTCGACATGTTAGAAACTCGAGGTTTACATGTGCTACTGTCCCTGTCCCATACTTGCGGCACAAGACTCCCTCAAGCCAATCGGGTCATCCATCCGCGGGCCTTATATTCGCGAGACTGTCGAGCCCGTCGAGTCTCCGTCATATTACCGTCGAACGTGCGACACAGTGTCCAATGTCGGGGCTCGTTCTCCACAACGCAGCCTGGGAAACCCGGCCTCAACGGGACATACGGCGCTACCGTCAAGCCATTTCCTTTTTCCGGAGCGGCGGTCGTGGACAGGGGCATGAACGTTCGTGCCAGTGGTGCTCAGCTCCGTTAAACGTGCTCTCGACGCCGTGCCGACTCGTTCGTCCAGTATGCGGTGTGCGTATAGCCGTAGCGTCTTGCGCAAACTTGGACTGAAGCTCTACCTCTCACCACAGTCGCCATCATGCGTCCGATCGGCCAGCTGGCCTTTATCGCTGCTGGACAGGCGATTTCGCTTGCTGGGCTGCCTGCCGGAGATTATTCCACGCGCAGTTCGAAGAACAGTTTCTTTGATGTGCAGGTAAGCGAGCCTGCCGCTGACTATACCCACTATGCGTGATTAATTGTCGATCGACAGGCACATAGAGGGGGCAGAGGAAACACTATAGAGAACACGCTGCCTAGCTTCGCTTGGTCTGTTCGAAGGACGTAGACGTAATGAAGAAGCTGACGTCGGGGCAGGGGTCTCATAGATGGTGCCACGACGCTGGAAATGGATAATGGCATCACCAAGGTACGTCCATAGACACTCGTTGCTGCTAGATACTGATCACGAGCAGGACGGCGTGGTTGTGGTCTGGCACGACGAGAACGTTACAGAGGAGAAATGCAAAGATACGGCACCAGCTGTAAGCACCTCCTGTTACCGCCTTGTCTTCTCAGGCCTTAATCCCCATGCAGACACCTAACGACCCGGACTTCCCCTACGTCGGAAAATTCATCGCTAACCTCACTCTTGCTCAACTGAGGACACTTGATTGCGGCTCGAAGAGACTTGACTACTTCCGTATGTTTCTCTCGCCGATAACGACTCTGCCTCGTCTTACAGCATTGTTAGCACTACAGCTCACATACCCGGGAACGAAAATATCCACACTAGGAGAAGTGTTTGACTTCGCTGAATGCGCGGACCCTTCTCACCTGATTTCCTGGAATATCGAGTCCAAAATCAACGCTATGTTCCCTAATCAGACGCTGGGTGTCGACGATTTCGTTGAGAAGCAGTATGCGCTATTTGCGAATAGCCCGTATAAATCTTCTATCATGGTCCGTACACGCGTTTGCTATGTGAGGCTGTGGCTGATAGGTTGTGTTCATTAGTACCAGAGTTTTGACTGGCGTACTCTGATTGCGATGAAGGTAATGCTTGAGCACACTTCAAGTCCATGAATATTGACCGACATTATGACTAGAAACGAGACCCGACGATCATCACCTCAGCTTTGATAGAGTGGATTACGGCGAATGGCATTGACGATAATCCGACCCCTTGGTTGGCCGGTCTGGATCTGGACCTGTTCCCTGGGCCGACCTTCGACCAGAAGGTCGCACAAGCCGCACGTTACATTCGTGCTGATATCTTGTCTCCTTCTGCTATATCATCGCAGAGTCGTGTTGTTGATCCTACGATGGAAGGCTATGTTCCATTTACAACCAAGGTGAGCCCGAGCTAAAGCGGGTCCTAGCATGTGTCTAGGTTCTAACGGGCCCCAGGTGATGGTCGACGAGGCGCACAGTCTCGGTTTGCAGATAAAACCATGGACGGTATGTGGCTACGTGGCTGCTCTCCAGATGGACATTCATTTTTCTTCAGGTCAATCGACATAACATTGTCGATCAACTTCTCGACTGGAAAGTCGACGGTATCATCACAGACTGTGAGCCAGGTCGTCGTTTAACTCCTACTTACGCACTGGCTAATGCATATATAGATCCAAATTCCGTCCGTCGATTGGTCAAACAACGGGATCTTTCCGTTGCTCCCAAATACCCTAAGCAGCGGGTGCTTGCCTGCTTGGATGAGCACTTGGCTAAACAGCGGGACTCGTCATAAGGGTGTTGAACCATTTTTATATGTTTTGGTTTGGTATATAGATTCCTTTGGGCGTAGACCACATCTGCATTGGTGCTATATCATGCATTCCAAGGTCGTACATTGCGCAGTAGATTTTTCTCGTTAAATTAGTCAAATGGATGGGCATTGAGTGGACGGCGTTATGCGGAGCGGATCGGGTTCGTGACCGTGTGAACTTCGAGGTGGACCGCGAGTGAGATCGAGCAGGACGCCAGCCGCATTGAGCTCACACTTCCGTCCGCCATGGCCTCCGCCGCCGTACTCAAAAAAGCCTTTACACTCCCACCAACGGTGCGCACGCTCGCCAATGGCGTGCCCAGCGCGTCGCTGCTCAATCTCCAAGCCCGTGCCGCGACCCAGGGCGAACACCATGAAGGTCATGATCATGCCGCAGGTCCCCGCTCTGACGTCCCCGCCAAGTTCGCCAGCAGCCTGAAGCTGTCCTCTCAGGGCCTCGTGCAGCAGACATTCGCGAGCCGTACGTCGCGTTTTGGCCTCGACCTGTGCGCTGAAAGAGTGACAGTAACCGCTTTGCAGCCAAGTCCACCGGCGACTTCCAGCAGCGCTTCCTGTCCACCTCCGCCGTCCGCAGGGATGCACCGCAGGTCCCCGACTTCTCGAACTACGAGGCAGAGAGCCCCACGCGCAACCGCAACGTCGCCTACGCGATGATAGGTACCATGGGTGTCCTCTCCGCGAGCGTTGCCAAGTCCACTGTCACGGAGTTCCTTGCCTCCATGTCCGCGTCCGCAGACGTTCTTGCGCTTGCCAAGGTCGAGATTGAGCTCGCCAGCATTCCCGAGGGCAAGAACGTCGTCATCAAGTGGCGTGGTAAGCCCGTGTTCATCCGTCATCGTACCGCGGACGAGATCGAGGAGGCGCGGAACACCGACTGGAAGACCCTGCGTGACCCCGAGAGCGACGAGCAGCGCGCTAAGAAGCCCGAATGGCTTGTCATGCTCGGTGTTTGCACCCATTTGGGCTGCGTACCCATTGGCGAGGCTGGTGACTATGGAGGCTGGTGCGCCTGCTACTCTGTGCTCGCAAATCGTGTGCTGATTCTTCGTTCTCTCCTAACAGGTTCTGCCCGTGCCATGGCTCCCATTACGATATCTGTGCGTCCCAATTGGAACATCTCTACCGCTTTAAATGCTCATCTCCTTCCCAGCTGGGCGTATCCGCAAGGGTCCTGCTCCTGTAAGTGCTATACCCTCTGCCTTTGAAGCTCCACTCACCAGTTTTCTTCAGCTCAATCTTGAGATTCCTAATTATGACTTCAACGAGGCCGAGGGCAAGCTCGTTGTTGGTTGATAGACTTGTCGGGTGGATAGACTATCATAATGCCACGTGCAAATCTGCATTCGTCTTGACTGGATTCTGCGCTGCAAAGTACCTAGATTTAACCAGGCATCCGCCAGGATCTTTCAAGCCTGTGCCATGTTTTTTTTTTTTTCATTTGTCTGCACTGACACTCCTCATGAGCTGCACCGCCCGTCTGTCGCAGCTACCGTGGCATACCAGAAAGCATAAATGTGCAAAAACTGCTCAGCCTGCTGCTATCTTTCTGCACCTCATGAGCTCTTCAAGCCTTACCACGATATCTGGTGCTGCAGCTCCGAATTTTCTAAGTTTCAATATGCGTCAAGTCGTATAACGTCGCTTACGTGCATGCAGTAACGCAGACTCCATATCTGCGGTTTTCCGTTTCATACATCTGACTCCATTCTGCTGTACATGCGGTGTCGCTATCAGTGCGGTACCGCGCGCGGGTACTGAACCAATTGAGCAGTCTACAGTTCTGCAATTGTGAAGTGACTCGCCCTAAACGCTATTACGCTCAGAAGGGCAAATTCCCGATCATTTGGTCTGATTATCGAATCTGTGCGTTGTGGCCCCAGGTATATGCCACACCGAGCGGTGGTGACTCAAGCCTCGCTTCCGGCCCCCGGCAAGGATGCCATTCCGCGTCTTGCATGGCGTCGCCGACGCGTGCCTGCTCTAGTATAAAGCGATGGACCGAAAGTTGATAGAGCGGCTACCACAAAATTAGGACCATGCAGCCTCCGCCGCAGTTCTCCGGCAGGTCACTCTATGTGCCTGTCTGTGCCGCTGGTTTTTCTCTGCTCGTATTTGCCACACAACTTGTCATCCATCGGGCGCGCAAAAAGTCCTCCCACGTCCCTGACGGGCGTGCACACGATGCTGAACGAAGCGTATCCTCGTCACTCAAGAATTATGTCGCAGGCACCGGTGGGCCGACAGCTGCAGTCCTCAACGGCTTGCGCGTGCTCTCTTGTCTCGTACTACTGTGCCTATCCGTGTACAGTGCGACACTCTCGGAGTCCCCATCGTGGGTCGCGCTCGGCTTCTGTACCACATATGTCAGTGTCTCGCTGATGACCACTGTCTCTGACGGTGTTGAATATGCTTCAGACATACGCAACTATTCTCAGCTTAACATCGCTCGCCGTGCCGTCGTGGAACGCAGCCGCGTCAGGCCACGTCACCTTCGTGCTGCTGGTGACATGGATCGTCTATGTCTATCGGGACGTCTGGCCGCTGGCAACATATTATTTAGCTCCGGCAAATGACCAGGATGCCTTATTTTGGGCCACCTTTGCTGTACTTTCTGTCGCAGCGGTGATTGTACCACTTACTGTTCCCCGGAAGTACGTGCCATATGACCCGCAGGTTCGTCTTTTCTCAGCTGGTCTATGTCTCGTGTTGACGTGCCAGCATCGGCATTCCGCGTAGGACCCGACGCCCAACCCGAACCCGGAGCAGACATGTTCTATCCTGTCGATGATGCTCTTCTCCTTCCTAGATCCAGTCATCTGGGACGGGTATCGGTCGTCGCACCTAGCCGTTGAACAGTTGCCGCCTTTGTGCGATTTCGAGCGCATGAAGTACATGTCTAAGAGAAGTTTTCCCGTGAGTCGCCTTTACAATAGACCGCCTGCCACTGCTAAAGCAGCGCCAGTATCTGGACCCTCTGGACCCTCAGTCTAGCCGGCATGTCTTCTGGGGAATAATGAGACTGTACAGTTAAGAGTGTCCGTTCTGTGTGCCATTTATTACTGCTGATGACGTGTAGAATGGGATTATCTCGTGGTCACGACTATGTTGACTTTGGAAGTAAGCGAAGCTGCCCTCACATCGGAGTCTGGTTATACTAAAGTGGGTCTGTAGGTGGTTGCGAGCTTTCTCACCCCCGTCGCGGTAAATAGGATATTGCAGTGCGCCTTGATCTCGGATTCCCTCGCGATTTCTGGTTCACGCTGTGTTGTAGTCATTTGGAAACTGGGGGCGAAGACGCCATAATCCGTCCGTGGTTCTGGATCTTGACCTTTTTCACAGGTCTTGTCGCGACTACTTTGACCTCCGGACGGTACTTCTTTGTTGTGGTACGCTACTATTAGCCAAGCAGCACATTGTACGAGCCACGCGCTGATGCAACCTATATCCCCTTCCAGCTACGACTACTCGCACAAGTGCAGAGCACACTCACGCAGCTCATCTTCGAGCATGCGCTGCGCATCAGGCTGAAGGCGGACGGTGGAATTCCGCTGATAAGAAAGAAAACAGCAA